TTAAAGAAAACGATATTATATCCCGCGAAAGGGAAAGAGAAAGGAAAAGGAGCCGGGAGCGGCGGGGAAAGGGCCTGATCTTGCAGCTAAAACTCTCTTCAAACTAAAAAAAAAAAGGAAAAAAAGCCTGCGAGGGTGCAGATCCCGCTGATCGGCCGAGGAGGGGCCGAAATTTTAAGGAGTGGAAACGACCGGTGGCGAAAGGGCCGGAGTTTCTTCCCGGCTGAATTCCTTCCCGGAGCGCCACAAACCACAGTGCAACGCGCTGGGCGCCGCCGGGAAAGTGGAGAAGGGAAAAACCGCACCCGAAAAGGCGGGATAAGGCGGGGGAAGGGGGCAGAGGTGCCGGGCTGGCCCCCCCCGCCCTCGGCCGGCCCGGGGGTCGCGGAGCCCCGCGGCGGGGGCGCGCTCGGGACGGCGGGACCGGGGGGGGGGGCTCCGCTCCCGGCGCTGCTCCCCCCGGAGCGGCTTCCACCATATCCCGCTTTAATGACCCCAAATCCAGGCGGAACTTTTCCGGCGTGGCCGGGTTTTTTTTTCCTGCTTTGCTTTGTTTTGTTTTGGAGGCGAAAGCGTTTGAATCCCCTTCAAGAACCGGTATCAAAGTCTCTTTTTTTAAAAGCTATTGATTGCAAAAGTCTTATTTAAACCAACACATTTTAGTTTCTCACATTTTAAAACATCATCTGGGGCCCATTGTATGGAAAATCGATTAGCAGGAATTGCCACGCTCTTTGCCTCCCGCTTGATTGTTGGAAAATCGAGACATCCATAGGCAAAGGCTGGGCTGGGAAAGGTTTGGAACCGAAATGAAAGGGTTTGCGAGGGATCTATAGGCACTAAATAATTCACCTGCCAGGCGATGCTGCTGTTATTTTGAAGCCTTAAAGAACTTTAAGGAACTTTTGGCTCCCGGCGGGGTGCGCGGAGCCGCGTTCCGGCTCCTTCTCCCTCCTTGCCCGGTAAACCCCGACGGTTTGGCCGGTGCCCGCTGCCTGCTCGGCGAAGGCACCGCCCGCGGTGCGGCCCCTCCGCTGGGGCTGGTCCTGGCCGGGTCGTTTGTGCCTTCGCGTTGTTCCTAAGCGGGATGGAAAAAAAAATACACATAAAAATAAAAATAATATGGATTTGAGCGCAAACCAGCTCGGGAGCTGCGCATCGGCACCGGTGGGCAGGGGGACCGGCAGCAGTGCTCGTCCTGCCTCCCACACCCCCCCCCCGGCTCCGGGGCTGCCCACCACCCCCCCACCCCCGCCCCACGCCGCCCCTCCTGTACGGGCCGCCCCAAGAGCCCCGCACCGCCCGGGGGGCAGCGGGGCACGGGAGGGGGTGCAGAGCGGAGCTCTGCGAAGCTGGAGGGTTTTGGGGTGGAATTGGGGGCGGGGGGGGGGGATACTGGGTCCGCGCCTCTCTCCCCGCTCGCCCCGTCCAAGCGAAGCCGCCGCGGGGATGTCGCGGGGGCGTGTGGGGGGTGGGCCGGGGGGAGCTGCCCCGGGGCCCCGCTCCCCCTCCGCACTTACCGCTCCGCGCCCCCGGGTGCCCGCACCGCCCGGCTCCGCTCGGAGCGCTGCCCGGGCGGCTGCGGAGGAGCAGAGGGAAGGGAATTAAATAGGGAGAGGGAGCTCAGGAAGAAAGAGGAGGCGAGGGAAGGGATCAATAGCATCCAGCTGGCGAATGGAGCCCGGGCCTCTCCCCCGCGCTGCGCCCCGGCCCATCGCCAGAGCCTCTGGGCGCTCCGAGGGGCTTCCCCCGGGCCGGGGCCGCCGCGCAGGCAGCGAACCCCGCGGTTCACACGGTCCCGGAGCGGCTCGGGCCGGGGCCGGCCCCGCATCTCTGCCCGGGGAGCTCCCGCAGCCTCCCGCGCCCCGGCCCCGCGTGTCTCGGTGCCTCTCGCCTGATGATATCGCATCGATCGGGGAAGAGCCGGGAGGGGGGCGGGAGGGGGGCGCGGGGCTACCGCATTACTCAATTATGTCGCACTAATTACTAAAAAGTCCCTCTCTTTTTTGCTGTTTGCTCGGTGCAGAGCTCGGCCGAGGGCAGAGTCCAGCGCCTGTCCCGGGGGGCCCTCGGCGCTGCGGGCCCGGTGGTGCTGCGGGGGGTGGGGGCGTCGGGAGCCCGGCCCGGGGACGCGGTGCGGGACGGCAGCTGCAGGGATAGATCTATCGATGGGCGGTCGATGGGCCGGTCGATGCGCTATCGCCATTATTACACTCAATGAAACCCTTCCAGACGCGGCTGCTTCATCCCTGGTTTGTTCCCCATCTCCTCCTCGCCGCTCATCTCGACACCCTCTCCTCTCAGCATCCTGTGGCGCTGCCCGGCTCCAGGCACTCCTGCCCATCCCTGCCAGGATCTGGTCATGCCCTGCCCACCCCTGCCGGACTCCGGCCTCCCTTCCCATCTATTCCTGGCTCTGATAAACCCCTGCCCATCCCTGCCCGACTTCGGGCCTCGACGTTCATCTCTGCTCGGCTCCAGAGCACCTGCCTATCCCTGCCTGGCTCCAAACCACCCTACCCATCCCTGCCCGGCTCCAGGCCCCCCTGCCCATCCCTGCTCGACTTCGTGTTCCGTTACCCACCTGGAAGCCCCCTTGCCCACCTGGATATTGCGGATTTCACATCCCCAGCGGAGTCTCCGGGACGCGGCTCCCTCTGTTTTGGGGGTCCTGCTCAAGGCCCGCGGGCGTTACGGCAGGGACAAACCGACGGGGATATCGAGGGGGGGTCGGAGCCCTTCCGTACCCCTGCTCGGCCGGGCCCATCCCAGCTGGATCGCGGGATGGATCGCGAGGCAGAGAAGGGGCTGAGGAGAGACCCCCACACTCCCCTCCGTTCACCAACTGCCCCGCGCCCACGTCCCGGGAACTTGCGGAGCTTTATTGTAATGAACCGGGCACTTAATCGACCTCCCGAAGGTGGGATGGGGTTGGATAGGATGGGATAGGACAGGGTGGGCTGGAATGGGTGGGAATGGCTGGGGTGAAATGCACCGAATTCGGACAGTTAATGTTAAATTTTGCTGAATTATTCCCTGCGCAGCCCGCTGGCGGGGGAGGCACTCCGAGCACCCACCCGCGGCTCCCGCTCCCGGGAGCGCCGGGACCCGCTGTCCTGCCGCTGCTGCCCCGCACCGGAGCTCCCGGGCCCGCACGGACGCCCCTCGGCCGCAGGAGCAGCCTGGAGCCCGGCAGTGACCGGGAACGGAGCAGCCCACGCGGAGCTGGCGAGGCCCACCCGCTGGAGGCTATGGATTTTATTTTTATTTTTTCGCTCTGTTCAATAAATATTGGGAAAACAGCATGTGCCGGCCTGGAGGAGCGGGAATGGCCGGGAAAGGCCAGAGTGGGGCGGGGAGCCCAGCTCGGGGCAGCGGGGATGGGGGCGGCTGGGAATGCGCCTGGAAGGACATCGAGCACCAGCCCCTCCGGTGGCCTAAACCCTGCTCGTGTTGGCTCTTCATCCCGGCTTCTTCCCCTTCTGTTCAGTTCCCTTTTTATTTCCTCTTTCCCTTTCAGTTTTCTCTTTCCATATTCCATTTTCCATTTTCCCTTTTCAGTTTTCTCTTTCCATTTCCCGTTTTCCCTTTCCATTTTTATTTTCCCTTTCCCTCTTTCCTTTTTCCCTCCTCCACCACGACTGCCCAGGGCCCTGCGGCCCTGCTCAGGGCATGTGTCGCCCCACGAGTGCCACTGTCACCTCCCCTTCTCGTGCCAAGGCGAGCCCCCCCCCTTCCAGAGGAGGTGCCCAGGGAGGTCTGTGGAAAGGTGGTGATGGGGGAGACACGCGTGGGAAAACACGGGTGTGCGGGGACAGGACAGGACATCTGGAGTAGACGAGGACAGCCAGGCCCACGGGGGGAACAGGGGAGGCAGAGGAGGGGGGTTTGGGGGCGTCGGGGACGGGCACATCCAGGGATGGAGGCGCATTAGCGGTGGGGGGGGGGCGGCGGGGGGTGGGCGGGGGGGGGGGGGGGGAGATGGGGTCACCCAGATGTGCGGGGCCGCAGGTGGGCACATCACACCCGCCCATCACACCTGCAGATCACACCCGCACATCACACCCGCCCGTCAAACCCGCACATCACACCCGCAGCGCTCCCAGACGCGCGCTGGGCACCGGGTGCGGCGGGTCACGGCGGTGCGGGGGGAGGCGTGACACCCGGTACGGGGAGGGTCACCCGGTACGGGGGAGGGTCACCCGGTACGGGGAGGGTCACCCCGGTGTCAGGGGTCGCCTGGCCCGGGGGGGTCACCCTGGTGCGGTGGGGGTCACCCAGGCGGGAGTCTGGGTGCGGGCGCGGTGCGGCCCCGCGCTCCCCCCGCCCACCGCACACCCCCCCCCCC